AGACTGGAGCTGAGCTCACAATTCTCTGGAAGGGAAAAGCCAAAGTAAGCTCTTTAACTTAAACCCCAGCTTCTGATCCACGAGCTCCAGCCAGATTGCCCATGGGAAAGCTCAAGTATGATCTCAGTTCTGGGACTGGCTTTTCCAAAGCACAGCATGCATCCACAAAGCCAGAGCTGAGCTACAGTCAGGCACAGCAAGGCGCAGAAGGACTGGGGTGGAGTTTGTTGGGCTAGAGGGCTGCTGCACAGCATCCTAAAGCATGCACAGAGAGAGATTTCCTCTCTGATTAAACTTGGAAATCTTGGACCTTGACAATCAAAGTATAAATAGAATCAAAGTATAAATGAATTCCAGAATATCTACAGATTTTATCATGGAGAATATAAAATTCCAGAGGTCTGATTTGCTTTCACAGCATTGGAGCTTGTCAGTCCTAGCCACAGACAACTTCCCATCCAATTACCAAAACTCAAAGTACGCCACAGGCCTCACATGATGCCAATGTATCACTCTGTAAGACATACCCATTTTACTCCATAATGACAAACCAAATCAATATGGCTATACAAAGTGCTCTCTTACCAAGTTTGGCAGTGAAAAACTAGTCAATGCAATCAGTGGTACCTGGAGAATTTTGGTTCACCCTACAGAAGTCACTTAACATTTGGTATCACACACAGACAGGCTCATGTGCTTCATGACTCCGACTGTGAGAGAATTCCCCTTTCCTCCCTCACTGCTTTACAAAGGGTAACTTTCAGGAACCTCAGTTCACAGAATTACACTGTCAGACACAGAGAGAAACCAACCCAGCCTCTGGAGCTCCACCTCCATTTTGCCACTTCATTCCAGCCTACTTCCAGATGGAGTAGAGAGGTTTCTTTTTTTCTCTAATAGGTCAAAATACCCTTAGTGTTTAAAAAGCTAGATAAACAGATGGATCACAGGTCTCATTGTGTTCTTTGCCAGAATTTGGCTACATTTGTGAGGCAGGTTGAGGCTACCCTGCTCAGGAGGTGAGTATGGCAGATCATTTGTTTTTCCCCCCATCTGTTGAAGATGATGAACTGATGAAGTGCACATGACTTCCATTGTTTTAGAAAGCCAGATCTTCTCTTGTACACAGGACCTACTCTTTCAGGAATGCATTTCTGACTTACCTATTTGCAGTGACAGTCTGTCAAGGCAGAATGTGACAACATCTCATTTTATTGATGAAGTAGTTTCTACTTTGCAAAAGAGGAATAGTAACTCTCCTGACACTGGACAGCAAAGCCAGAAAGATCACAGAATTTCTCCTTCTTGCAGCCCTCAGTTTCTGAGGGGACCCAGATCAGAAGAGTACCTCCCTTCTCTGAGATTTTACCTCCTGGCCCATTAAAGAGCAGAACAGTAAGCTGGAGATGAGGCAGGCATCTAGCAGAGCCTGAATGTGCACACTGTTTTCCTGTTGGAAAAGGTGGATTGCAGGCAGTCATACAGTGCTCAGTCCACTGCCGCACAGCAGTGAGGGACCCATCCTGGGCTTACCAGAGGCTAGGCCATGGCTTTTCTGTTTTCTTCTAGGTGCACTTTTAACAACAACAGGTCTGCAGGGCACTGGAGGGTCCAACCATTGAAGGCTACATGGAGCTGCCACTCCTGAAGTGATGTGAGAGCCACTGCACAATGAAAGAAGTGTCTCAGAGAACTCTCAAAAAATATTTGGCATGGCCTAGGTCTTAATCAACTCCAGAATGGAAAAACAGCACTAGTAAAATGTCTCTCAATGCCTACAAATACCTAAATTCAAGTTCAATTATAGCAGGAGGAAGGGGAAAATAAAGAGCATGTTTTTTTCTCAGGCTCCAGAGCCAAGATCTGTGTGTTTTTGAAGTCATCCTGCAAGGAAGAAAAGAAAAGGCTGAAGCTGACTGTGACCTAAATAAAGCAAAAGAATTAAGTTCTTGTGATCAAAGGATTGAATGATGCATATACACATCTCCCTAAATAATAGAGTTGGTAGGAGAAATGACATGTCATTATTCCTCTGAAATAAGGCAAATTACCTGCTCTGAAAGAGGAGTAATCTGTTTTTTATACAATGAAGAATAATGCCACACTATTTCTTCTAAAATTAGCAGCTGACAAGCTGAGACTTCAGTGCACATAGCATCTGGCTCTCTGGCACCACTTGGACTTACCAGAGTGAACCCTTCCTTTTCCAGTTTTATTAGGTTTGGTGGGCAATAGCCATTACCACAAAAAACACACACAGAGCTCCAGAACAGCAGTAGGTTTAAAGTACCTCAGAGTTTCTTTCTTGCTCTCTAGAGAAGCAAATGCAGAAAATCTGATGAGGATATTTTGAAAAAAACTCCAGAACTCTGAATGGAGTCAAAGTCCTCTTTTCACTCATTTTTTCAATCAGCTGTACCCTTCATTAGTTGTCTTCCAAACAAGAAGCAAGCGTGGGACAATCTTATCCTGAAATTCTGCATTTTGACATTTCCAGTATTTAAGGCAGCCAGTCAAAAGTGAATTCCAAACACTGAAGTCAGACTCATCCAAGTTTCTTGTTTTCTATTCTCAAACTCTAAGGCTTCAGATGCTAAATAACTGAGCCCATAGCCATAGTAATGGCTGAACAATTTATCTTGAAAAGATAATGGCTATATTTTATCACATGAATGCATAGAAACAGTGTAGAGACTTCTTCTCTAAGCTGCTCTCCTGAGGAATCTCTCTCTTCTGTTCATGTTTAGACTGACAGTATGAAGGGCTCAGCATTCACAAAGAGGCTTGGGAGATTGGAAACCTGAGAATGCATTTCCATCAGACCTGGGAGGCCAAAAATCACAGTGATTATTTACCCCCTAGAGAATTTCCTGTTAAATAGCCTCTCAACAGAATAGCCAAACTTTCCTGAATCTCCTTTACTGATGCACAGCCATAATCATATCCAAGATACATGCAGAGAATTCCCCAGCAGCAGATTGGAAAGGAAATGTAAGTTACACTTTCTCTCCCTCACACATCTGAAGTAAGAGATTGGGTGATATTTCCTTTGTATTTTAATATGTAAAACACCACTACTGTTGATGTTTTCCTTGGCTGTGATGACAGAGTATAGGAAATATAACAAATCCAGTCACCAAACCCACATACTTGACCCCTTCCATCACAGTTTTGGCTCAGGCAGTTTAAAGTGCATGATGTTTTATGTTTGCACTTATCTTCTTTCACACAAATGACAAACAAGTGACTTTCCTCTGTGCTGGGAGGACCAATTCAAACCACACTGCCTCTCTGCTCATTGCCCTGACTGCCAGGCTCCATGGCATCACACTGTTGTTTGGGGTTTTTTCCTTGAAGTGTTGGAGATAGTCCTCTTGTCTAGCAAGAAAAAGATGTTGTAATAGTTGAAGAGCCCATTGGGAAAAAAGTAAGATCTTACTGAAAGAAGATGCTTCCTTAAGTGAGCCTGTCCTTTTCATTCCAGCCTACTTCCAGATGGAGTAGAGAGCTTATTTTTCTTTTTTCTGTAATAGTCAAAGGCAGGTCAGCTCATGAGTGCTAGAGTCATAGGTCTAAGGGAGGCAAACACAAAGCAAAATGTTAAATTCCCTATATCCATGGGTTCTTGCATTGGATAAAGGCCACGTGCCAGAGAGGAAGGACACCCTCTCCATCTGATCTAACAATGAACTCATGATAATGCTCCAGGGCAGAGCATCAACTGGTCCTAAGCAAAGAAGACAAAGGGTCAGGGGCAAAACCCATTTTCTTGAGGCTCCAGTAGCCCAGAGAGAAACAAGCAGAGATGAGCTGGACTGACCCAGGGAGGCTTTAGAGACTGCTTCTCCCTATGAGCAGGCAAAGCTCTCTGGACACACTGCTCAAGGTGTATCATCCCAGCCAAAGAGCTGTCTGTGTTTGAAGGCACTATTTCAGAGCACAGAGAACCAAGGTTGTGCTCCAGAAAAGCAGAATCTGAGCAGCCAGCTCAGCAGTTTCTACTTCTGCTTCCTAAGGCAGACCTGGTTATCCAGTTATGAAAAAAAAAACAAAACACCAACAACTGGCTACATTTATCACTCTATTTTCCCTGACAGTACCTTACATTTAGACAGATTTACCACCACCACCACCTTCTGAACCTACTTGAGTATTTTTCTTCTCTGAATGAGGCCTGGTAAAGTTCTACACTATCTTCTGCAGAAAATTATTCAGTTGTTGAACTTTTCTTGATCCTTCATTGTAAACAGCAAAAATTATGGTCAAGACTGCTATGAGTTTTTCCTCTTCTATCTGCCTTGTTCTAGTGCACAGACAACATCAGGCTAATGTACTGTTTTGCAATCAGTTTAAATGGTTCCACTGACCTGCAATCAGCATTTTGCAGTACAACAATGGCAGATCAGCAAACCTCTGCCACTCTGTTTATTTATTTATCAACAAGAGAGCCAAACAGCCAACAAACAGCTCCATGAGTACAGATGCCAGCACGATGTCAGCAGAGAGAAAGAAAGAAAGACTGTCCACATCAAAGTATGCAAACCTCCCTTTTCAGTGTATGGAGCTAAACTGCATCTTCTCCCTAAGCTTCACCTACAGCAGGGGAACACAATTACCCTGACCAAACAACTGAGGGCAACATTCCAACACTGCCTCTTTACAAAGCACAGAATTTATAACTTCCTTGAGAAAACATAAAAAAGAAATAAAGAACAATTTTAATTATATTCATAATGATTTATTTTCAAAAATGTTCCCATTAAACTGCTATCTAAGCACAACCCATTGTAAGTCAGAAGTAGTTTGGTTCCACTTGCATTTAAAGTGATTTTTATAATTATTCACATCAGAACAGACATTAATCACATAAACAATAGCTGCCTTGCAGAAAACACATGATAAGCAGCTATGTTATGACTTACTATTATTTTTATTACATTCTTTAACTTGAATGCAAATTTTCTATTAAAATGTGTTTTTAAAAAACCCATAAATCTTACCTTCAGACTGATGTGTGGCCAGAGGTGTCTGTGTCTCCTTGGAGTACGATACCACCTCCCGGGGTAAGAAATCGACCTGGGTAATCTTGGACACCCCTAGTTTGTGCAGTCTGCGTCTGAGGTGAAACACACAACATCAAAAGGTCAGTCATGGTAAATGGAAATCAGCACCAAGAACAAATGCTTGCTGCTATGGACAGGATAAAAATGCTTCAGTGTTTGTAAAGGTGAAACACAACAATGCATGAGAAGTACCTCACTGCAGTGAAGAAAATTAACCTGGGAACCATTTGCCATAGTAAAGTCTAGTTGTTGAAGCTCTAGATCATGCTGCTGAGAGGGACTGCAAATGGGAGAGAGAAATGGCCTGCTTGTGTCCCTCTTAACATGCAACAAAATTCTCTTTCACACCATCACTACTGTGATATTCTGTCTGCTCAAAGGAGCTCATCCTCAGCCTGGGACACACAGCTGTGGAAAGGGTTTAAACCAGGAGGAATTAGACTGCCAAATGTTCGGCTGGGAGGAGTAACAGAGTCTTTAACTGGCAAAGTGTGTCATTTCCATAAAGAAGGAGATTCTGCCTTTCACAGGAACCATTAATAGTGGCCTTGAAGTAGGTTTATAATTATAAGTATAGTCCTAATGCAAGGGCTGGAGAAGAGCTAAAACTTAACTGCAGCAGGGCAACTATTGCCTTCTATTTTGTCTACTTCCCTTGCTTTAAATAAACCATATTAAATAAATCAGTGAATCAAACTGTAAGTGGGCAAGGGAAAAAGAAGAGATGCACTTGAGTATGGCCATGAACACTTTTAGCTGTGCACAGTTCACTCAGCAGCAGGGGAAAAGATCAGTTTATTTCCTGAATATTAGTTGACTGTCTGCAGGAAGTGAAGAATATAAAATGGTTACTTGGAAGTGTTTTACTGGAAAAAATGCCAACTTTTAGCAGAGAAATAATGCAAACACAATAAGAAAATTAATTACATAAGGCCAGTTGCCTGAATCAACAAGTGAGAGCACACTTGTGCACTTATAGGGAAATAAATTCCTGGACACAATGTTTCTCAATTTGCCACAATATTGAAGAGGCAGATTTGGAAAAACAGAAAATTCTTACACATTATCTATATCCTCTTCATTTTCCAGGTTATCAGAAGAAGTCATAGGGGTTTTGACCTAATTAATTTACAGTGGTTTAGGTATTCAATTAAGATCCATGTCTGAAAGGAAATGGGAGTCTAAAAAGGAAACTGTCATCATTGGATAACACCTACTGAACTTTTCAGCTGCATCAGTAATTTTTTTTTCCAATCTGTTTTACTGCCTGGGTTGTTATTAAGCTGACTGCAAATAGGTACAAATCAGCTGTATTGTGCAACAAACCACTAGAGCAGAAACAGTTGTTTTAGCTCTGAATCTTTCCTCTTTTCAAAGAAGAAAAATTAACAGGTCTCCCTCCTTACAACCATCTCTGACTTTGCCAATCTGAACAAAATCTACAATTGTCTAAAAACTCTACAAAAATACTTCTACCTCATTACTGGGGGCAGAAAAGTTTCTCCAGCTGGCAAAAATTTTAGTAGCTTTACATTTTGTAGCTGCTTTAACTTACGGTCTGTATGAATTCAATGTTTAATAAATATCTCACCCCAACAAACTCTCATGTGCTTTTCCCTCCCTCAGCACCAGGTGTGCAATCTCTGTTGCCTTCTTGGTCAGTTTGATTTCCCTGTGCATGCAGTCCCCTGCTGCCTCAGGCTTCTCTGTCCATTTACTGATGTTCTTTGTGTTGAAAGAGTCTCTTGGCAGTGGTCTTGGTTAAGTATAACCCCTAATTAATTATGTGTCTAATCTGGACCTAATTAGAACCTCACCTAATTCTAAAACAGTTTCACATGCGGTCACTCTGTATCTCCTGGACTGCCTGGGGATGGGGAACGTGACCCTAAAGGAGAGCTGGATTTAACTGCTGGTTGGGTGAACTGAAGCTCTGCCCACTGTGTCCCAGACTTCCCACGGCACTGTGCTGAGACAAGGCATGGAATTCCTCATGTGAAACACTTCCAATTCAGCAACTGCTGGTGCCTCTACAAATGCCTTGTGCCACCCATATTCTGTAATTACTGGTGAAGACTCAGAGGTCCTTCCTCATCTGAAGGAATGTGATCTCTTGATTGCTGATTGCCTGTGTCTAATTGCCACCTCTAATTGTTCTCATGCTACTAAAAGTTGGCCTAGCCTTTGGTCCCAAGCACTCAGGGACAACTGGAACTTCCTTTCAATACCTGGACTTTACCAAATATGTGCTGTAATGTTCAAGCCTTTCATTCTTTTTAGGGCAACATCAAATGGTCTATTGTTTTCCCATCCCCATTTTTCATCTGAGGTACTCATAATTCTCATAAATTCAATAAATATTCATCTTAGAGAGCACATAATCTTTGAAGGATTCCTACCCAAACTGCTAATGGGAAGTCAGTAGGAGGATAGTGACTAAAACCCATACATGAAAACTGATTCTTCAGTCCATAGGTATCTTAAGAAAGATGTATCTGCTACAAGTGTTTTGAGACAAATATCATATAATTGCTGACTGCAGGATTTCTTTTGCAGTGGTTTTGTTGGTTTTTTTTTTTTTTTTTGCTCTAGTCTCAGGACACCAGAGGAAAGTTTGACTCTGCCTTGGGTTTGAAGACAGTTTTCTTTCAAAAGGGACAGGACTTCCATTACAATGTGTAATGTGTAAGCCTGTGGACTTGCTCTTTGGAATGCTTCTTTTCTGCCTCTGCACTGGCTGCTAGTAATTAATTGAAGTCTACATACAGAGTTATCTTTTTGCGAGTCAGATAAAGGAACTTGCTTTGCACAGCTGTTTGAGAAACCTTGCTCCTAGGAGTCCTCATCTTTTAATTCAAACTTCTGTAAAAAAAGGAGCTGGGATTTCTATAAAGTTTTTGTAGGTTAAAAGAGCTCAAAAAACTCTACCTTTTTGGTACAACCCAGGTAAAGTTGTAGATGTGTGACCTATTTGAAGTCACACGCGTGTGTAAACTACAAACATTCCTAGGAGTTCTAGATATGGAGAAACACTTCTGTTTAGAAAACTCTCTGGATACTTTCCTTCTGGATCTTTCCTGGTGAATAGACTTAACACACCTAACTGCAGCAGGGAGCACTGTCAATCAGCTGAAGGGAAGCTGTTGTTTTTCTGACAGAGCGGTGAATGAAGTAGCAAAAGCACGAGAGAGTTGCCTGGAGACTCAAAACAGACAACCCTGCAGAATAACACTGGTAGAACAAATTTTTCCCAGCAGTGATTTGGTTTTACCTATGACTCATGCTGCTACCCACCCTTTTAGGGGAACAGGTTATCCTAAATACCTCTGCAGGTAAGCATTTCTACATAATTTAAATTTAATATTTTTTTCACTTGTTGGGGTAAAGAAGTTCCATGCCAAACCATAAAATATTAATTTTAGCCCTATTAGAATTTTTAAAAAGCTTCATAGGCCTGAACTCAACTAAGATGGCACTTACTCTGGGACTATGATCATACTTAATTGTACAATTTTAAATACACACACAGCTCCTAAGCTTTTCCCTTTTCCTAAGGAAAAAGGGGACATTGTTACTGCATATGGAAACAGCATAACTATAGCCAGCAGAAAGGAGGGGGGAAAGTATCTCGCAAATGATTCAGAGAACAGTCTGAATCCACAGGTACAAACAAGATCAATGTAACTATACATGCACATATATGCCACAATAATAACATTTCATCTGAAATGAAATAGTTATTTGTATTGTGTTTCAGGCAACAGAAATAGCAATTTATCTTTTCATAAGCTTGTTTAAATAGCTGGATTTTTTCCCACAAATATGACTTTGCTGAAGCTTCTAATTTATGAAACTAAAAAAATGAAACTTAAATTATGGTCTTTTTGACTCCAAAAAGCAAATGAAAATCACATACAACCAGCTCAACTAGGAAGCATTTCCAACATAATTCTTGCAAAGAAAGGATAACAAAAAGAGCTGACATATACCCAAGTTCAGAGTCAGACTGGAGTTGCAGCACTGAGGGGTCTGTGTCCCATTGCAAGGTCCTAGGGTGGTAATCAGCCGTGCAGCACGAAGGGGAGGGAAGAAAAGAACACACAGAATTAACTGAAAGGATGAACAAAACCCCATCTCCTTAGTTACATGCTCTACATAGTACATTCAACCTCCAGGTGCAAGCAACAGCCACCATATGTCAAACAAGGTTTGTATGTCAAACTGAGACAGGGCAGGCAATTTAATAAAACCACATATTATTGATAAACAGAGGAAAAAAGCTGGATTTTCTGACACATATTGATCAAGTAAACATGGGGTTGGGTTTTTTTTTTTGCTTTTCCTGAAAAATTGTAACTCTTTAACTTAGGTTGATGGATTCACAATAATTTGTAAAATCTGCAGGCACTATTTATTTATGTTTTTATGATAAGGTAGACTGAGCACTTGCCATGAACTCCACTGAAGAGTTTATCCCTTCACACACTCCTGAGACAGACAGCAATCCATCCTGTACAACTCTGCTCTGGGCAGGAGCATCACAGAGTGCATATGACAGCAAAGGGCACACTGACACCAGCTCTGACACACTCTGAGGGCACCTGGGACAAACAAACAAATCCTTTTTCTTTTCCTCCCAATAAAATCCCTGGGGAAGAGGCTAATAATGCATCTGAGAAAATCAGATCTATGTCAATCTCTCAGATGAGGCTATTACCAAATGTACAAACGTCCCAGAGGTGTGGTCTGCAGTGAAGATGTTGCTCCTTGCACTGCAGTGCAGTTTCCCAGCAAGCAGCTCTAAAACACCTTGCAAACACCCACAGAGCCTTTAAAGAGTCTTGTGAAATATTCAGAATCCTTCAGTTTAGAAATGTAAAAACTGACATATTGGGGCCAACATTTTCAAAAATGCCTTCTCCTTCTCTGTCTCTTAATTTTACTTTATTTTTCCACACTCAGGAAGCCACATCTTATATGCAAGAAAACTGCCAGAATCCATGACAGAATCAGGAACACACAAGTGGCTCCTCAGCACCTTTTCCTGTAGTATGGATACTAGATTGTGCACTGCTCTCACTAGCACGGCAAAGAAAAGTGCTCCTTCCCTAAGCAAGCAAGTCTTCATGAAGACATGCTGGAAAATTATAGTTGTCAAAATTACACCCCTCCAAATTTCTTCTGAATACAAATTTTGAGGATATAGAGATGATAATATTACCAGGTTCAGCCAAAATTAGCCATATAATCAGCTGTGGTTAATATACACAAGTCTTTCTGCAACAATAGCAATCTCTGCCAATGAATCACTCATATAAACCAACAAGTTACTGAATTAGTTCAGAAATAGATCTATTAAAGCCAAATAATTATTCTACTTCTTTTCCCCAGTAAACTCACCCATTATATTACCAATATTAACTCACTCTCTGGACAGACAGACAAGGGCATATGCTGCACTCTTGTCATTTCAGAATGAAAAAGAATCAATCTCAACACCCTGTGCATACAAAAAGAATGAAATCCTGTAATGCAAAGCTACTTTCTCATGCAACATAAGGGCATCCATTTTCCTCAACTTATGATCCATAGTAATATTTATCAGGATAAAAGAATTTATACTGGTAAAGAAAAGCTTCTCCAAAACTAAACTGTATTACAAAAGGTCATAGATAAAATAATATAGCAAGAAATAACAGATTTTTTCCCTTGTAACTTGACTGCAGTGTAAGTACAGTGGAAAATGGACATAAGATCTGAATGCCTGATGCAAGGCAAAGGCATCAATGACTAATGCATTATAGATACTCCATTAAAAATTCTATCTGTGTGAAGATTGCTTTTGTAATGTCACCAAGGTCAGTTGCATATATTAGGACTCGCTACATAAGTGCCAGTTTCTAATTTTACCGCTGCCTAGGGGCTACTCATGCATTCATGTCCAGGTTTTCCAAACTCTTAAAAGAAAACACACATAACTCATTTCAGTTTCCTCCCCCCAACATTCACTTTCAAATCTACAGGATTTGTAGGGGGATAAAGGCTATTTCATCAGAAAGAACACCATTATCATTTGATTAAAGCAAGAGCTTGCAACAGGTCTCTGGAAGTACAGTCCCTATGTTCCACCTCCAAGAATCCAGGCCAGGCCACCTTTACCTGGTACCTTGATAAAAATGCCCCAAAATAAAAAAAAATTAGAGATCTCCCACACTCAAGACAGCACTCAAATCCCAAAACTATGGGGGCAGCATTTGTGGTTTGGGCCATCGCAGGCCGACATGTATAGAGACATCCCTCTCTTAAGTATTTATTATCAGGATTCTCATATACAGCCTTCACCACTCTGGATATAATTAGGAGTCAAGGAGAATTGCTATTAAAAGTAGGAATCCTACTTTTAATAGCAATTCTCCTTGACTCCTAATTATATCTGTTTTCAACAGTTCTAATGCATCTGCAAAACATTTCCCAGATTTGTGCTCCCTGGTACATCCCTGTGTTACCACCTGCACAGGTGTGAGGAAGAGATGAGGAAACAGTCTGCTTCTCTCCAGCTTGGCTGAGCAATGCTATCACACAAAATGAGGCTGCAGGTAACAAATCTTCAGGTTTCAAGTCTCTCGCCCTGGGAGACAGAACACAAGTGGCTACACTCAGCTAGTAAAGGCTGCAGAGCACAGGGAGTGACTCTGTTTCAAGGAACACTATTGATTTGTTCTTTGTCTCTTCCTGGCACCTGAAGAATGTCATCAGATCAAAATGAAAGTGAGTGAACAGTAAAGATGTAATCTGGACCTGCAATTTAGACAGTTTCCATGGCAATAACATCAAAAAAGAAAGAAACAGATTCTTTGAGGTTTAGCAACCCAAAAATGATGTTGAATAGCCTGTGCTGTCATCCTGACTAGAAAATTAAAGCTAATCTGTTTGTGATGAACAGCCATTGCGTACGACATTTCTTGGTCATATGGATGAGCATTGTAGTTACGCTTGTTCTCCTGTGGCCTCTCCTCAGTGGGGATTTTGAAATGCCACTAGACTTCAGCAGAAAAGCAGCTTTTTCCAGCTAGTTCATGAGTTCCTCCTCCAGACCATTCTTCATGAGGGAAAGGACTAGGTGCTGTTGCTCTTCTTTTTTCTTTCTTATTTCATAAAAGAAGACTGCAATGGCTTGACTTCCATTCACCCAGAGACAGAAGCAGAGAAGACAATGTCACAGACCCTGAGGACAAGTGCATGGCCTAGGAGTTGGCAGTCAGGCTGAGGTGCTCCCACTCTGGACATTTCAGAAAGCACAAATTGCTCGAGGTTCCCCTAAATGGATTCAAAGGATTTTGACACAGGTCCATGTAGAAGAGATGAAAAACATTTTAGTTGAACATTTTTATGGGGAAAAGAGAGGAGCATTAGACCGAGCAGGTAAAAGCAGTGCAGCCTAGCAGTCTCCAGTCCTGCAGACTCCTCCCAGGGATGAAGGGAGTGACACAGGCATGGCAAGGATCCTGGAAACTCACAGAACAGCACAGTCAGGGCTAAACCAGATCAGTCCGTGTTCCCCACCCAGACAGACTGACACTATTTTAATCAGAACGACCCAACATTGTTTCAGAGCTGGGTGCTGTGTCAGTCTCCCACATAGTGGCAAACAATAGCCCTGTGTCATGGTGCATCCCCCTTGGACATGTTCAGTGCACAGCAGCTGACCCTGGCTCTCTGAAGGATAAAAAGCTGTATCACTAAATAACAGATTGTTCTAAAGCAGCACAAAGGGAATGAAGCCTCTTAGATGTTGCACTAAGAAGACAAGGTACAAGTGTTATTAGCTCTCTTTCAACTGATCTGCTTTCACTCTCTTCCTTCAGATAAGCATCTCAATAACCTATTTTTTCTCAAATTTAGGACAGTACTAATGCTGGTGCTGTTTCAGCACTAACTACTGAAGAAGTACCAGATAATTTTGACACATCGTCTTTTAATAACCTGAAGAAAGAAACTAACAAGAGGAAGAGGCCCAGATGTCATATATTTACTAAAGGATCAGATGGTAAAACAACTGAATGTTGTTATTTCTTCTGAACTCAAGTCCAAAGCATTAGGAAGATATTCAGAGCACAGTTCTCAAAGGACGGAGAACTGTTACAAAATCTAAGGTGGGAGGAATTTGAACAGAAGCATTCCTTTTTCTGTAGCATTATTATTATTATTACCATGGAAAAACAGGCACTGCCATATGTTACAATGCTCTGTGTAACCTTACCTCCAGAAGATTTTATTCTGATTGCATAATGTCAATTATGTAGATTAAAAATGTGGAAAAGACTAAAATAAACTACAAATAAAATAAAACACTTGAAACCTTTTGGAAAATTCCCAGCATCAGAATGCATTAATGTTCCACCTCCAAGAATCCAAAACTGTCTGACATCCAAAACTGTCTGGAATCCATGAGAACTCTTCAGCTGATTTAAGCAGCTTTGGGTCTGGCCTTAGCAGTAGTGTATGAAACACGTACAGCATCAGTTCCAATACATATCCTTAGTAATCTGCCATCAAAAAATGATATTTAGTATCTGTAATCACCATCATATCGCAACAGAACTTGGCTCTGGGTATGTGTCCCAATCCAATACTTTTCATATGCAACATACTGACAGCTTAGTTGTGATTCTGCTTCCCTGCAGAAAAATCAAATCCTGCCTCATCTGTTGCTGATGCTGCAGAACATGTGTTCTGCATGATTTCTTTTCTCCCCCAACTCCCCTTTCCAGGTCAAGAGCAGCCAGGCCTGAAAATCCATGTTTCTGAACAAAAGGCTCCTCACAGGAAAAGCAGCAAAGTCTGCTTTCCCAGGGGCTTCTTGCAAGGCAGAATCCTCTTTGCAGCATTGCAAATCACACCTTCAAGCAGAACTGGAGGAAAGCAAACACCATATTCTGGCATCTCCTGTCACCAAGAGCTGTTGTGCTCTCCAGACCAGGAGAAAACTGCACTGACAGTGTACTGAGACCTGAGGTATCTCCTGAACTGAGATACCCATATGTGTCCC